TAGTGTATAAAGAGTACAAAAAGTACGTTTTTTGAAAAATAACTGCTTGTTTATACCACATAATCAAATTACTACGCGTGGGTCGAAATGCAGAAAAACAAAACTAAATTCAATCATAACCATCAAAGGGCTACCGGAAGAAGCGATCGGTTTAAGCCATCAGTTATAGGCCCGCTAATTCTTCTGTTGGATTTTAAAAATATATTATTAGACTGTTATTTCCATCCATTAGGACGGCCAGTCAGTTTAATCTCGTCCTAACATTCTTTTCTTTATGCGTGGCACGGCATAAAACTTCAACTTCAAGGCCGATCACCTGCTAGTTGGCATTTTTGATAGAAAATAGGTTGAAAAATCTTCGTTTGCTTGTGTCACCATAAGTGGTCCTTACCCAAAAAAAAATTTTTTTTTAACCCGCTCGGGAGGACCCAGGTGGCTGTGTGATAAAAAGAATAAATCACAGCTAAGAAAGAAATATCTACATATATAAACAAATAAGTAAATAAGCAAATATATAAATTTAAATACAAATATAAATATATACGGGCCATTCCATGCCAAATCGCACACCTTTAACATCACTCTTCCAGATTTTTTTTATTTTTCGGTGGTTAGCAGAGTCTAGGCCAGCATAAAGAAAGCCGCAAAGAAAACCTGGAAAAGTGAAATCCCCGCCAAGCTGCACCCTTCTAAAGTCGCAATATTTACCAGGTTGCAGCCTATCTTTAAGGCTTGTAATTTAGTCTGTTCTTGACAGAATTTAACGATTTTTGATATTCTTGTTTCTTATTTCCCGAAATTTTAAAGAAATGTTGAATAGTTTAATTTTGATAGAAATTCATAAAGATACAACAAAAACAAAATTTCAAACAAGCAGTAAAAAAAACGTGTTTTCGAATTTTTAAAAAAATATATATATTTTGTGTATAATTTTTTTTCTCTACAACATCAGAATTTGGAGATGGCGATTTTTTTATGTCGAGAGTTACGAGCCGGGAAGGAATGTGAAACTGAGAAAAAACCCACTATTTTTGCAGTTATTCCATATATTTACAATGGCGAAACCATCCGGAGCCGCTTTCGAAGGCCGCAGCCGGCAGCCACAAATATCCCATATGCTTTAAACGTTGGAAATTCGACATCAAAGTTGTATTTTACTTTAATAACATTAACTGTTTATGATTCAACAGAGTTGCAAGAGGGAGTTTTTACTCCAGCCGTTTCTAGTTCTTGTTTTTTATTCTGTCAAAACTATGTAGCCAGTATACATTTTGGTGTCGCGTAGAAGTCTAAGGCCTCACTGCTTTACTTGGGTAACTTTTAGATCACGGGTTTTCTCAAAAATTTCTGTGTTTCTGGAGAACTGCAGCACATAATTTCAAAAAAGGACAAGTCGACCTAACAAAAACTCACGAGTGCACGACAGGGACAATTCTAAGAGCTCAGGAACCGCGATATACGAGAATGATTTTGCCACTGTAAAATACATGGGATTCCTCTAAAAATACTGGGTTTTTTTCAGTTTTACATCCTATTTCGGCTCATAGCTCTGGATACCGAAAAATCGCCATTTT